TCCTGCACCCGCCCTTTCCCCGTAGTCCCTCAAGGCCCATGAGGTGACTCCTGTACCCCCTCTTCCCCATAGTCCCTCATGGCCCGTGAGGTGATTCCTGTACCCCCTCTTCCCCATAGTCCCTCAAGGCCCACGAGGGGACTCCTGCACCCGCCCTTTCCCCGTAGTCCCTCAAGGCCCATGAGGTGATTCCTGCACCCCCTCTTCCCCATAGCCTCTCAAGGCCCATGAGGGGACTCCTGCACCCCTCCCCATTCCCCTGCCCTCGGCCTCCTCCCTTCACAGGCCTGCTGACACACCTCCAGGGAGGTCCCAAGGATGAGCAGCAGATCTGCCATGGGGAAATCAACCACATGTAGCAAGAACCTCTGGGGCAGCGGCTCCCCAAAGAACACGATGTCGGGCTTCACAACGCCAGTGCAGACTGTGCAGCGGGGCACCCTGTCTGCCATCACGTAAGCCTGGGAAACAGAAAACGCAGGCCTGAGGAAGATGCCGCACATACTTTAAAGGCAACGACTTCTTATTAAAGTGTCAAACATTCCCCCCAAAAAAGGTGAGAGATGGATCATTAACCCCCATGTAACCAGCTTGAGGAATCACCAGTTTTCATAGCAAATTGTTTCACAGCCCTCCAGAGTCTGGGAGGAGGTGTTAAGGCATTTAAAAGCAAATCCTGGACATCATATGATTTCACCCATAAATACTTCGGCAGGCACCCAGCACATCTAACACCATGCTCTGGACACCTGGGATGCTGACCAGAGACATTCAGGTGCCAAGGGAATACCTGGCAGACTGCCCGGGCCTCAGACAGCAGCCTGCAGGCATTTGGCCTACACCGAACATTATTCAGTCACAAAGGTGAAAGTGTCTCTGGGTCGAGCTTAAGAGCTCATGGCATTCCTCAGACCTGGGAGGCATTCAGGTCAGCTTCAGTGACTGGCTGGCATTATGAGGAATAACAACATCTGCCAAAGACTGGCTCCGTAGTGGCCAAGGTGTAGTGGACACAATGACACTTTTCATCAAGATTAATATAAATTAATGCCTTGGGCCAGATGGAAAAGGGAGAGAGTTACAGAGGAAGACACCTGACTTTCTAAGGGAAACCTTTACAGCTAATTGGGCTTGTTTTAAGCAGGCTCAATCCAGCAACAGAAACAAGAGACAAAAGAAAGAAACGCACAAAAGATTTCGGATATTCTTGGATACATAGTAAAACTGTATTACGTTTAAATTAAAAAGAAAAAACTGTTATCTTGGAGACTATGGGGTATAGTTAAAAAAAAAAAAGGAAACAAAAAAAGATGAAATTGAAATATCTATTAAAGATACAAAACTACTAAAAAATAACGTAGCCGACTTGGAAAATAACCAAATATAACTTCTATAAACAAAAAGTAGAGGAACCAAAATGAAAACTCAATGTCTGTTTCAAGTTGGTGTTTGGGAAAAAAGAAAGAAAGAAACATTCAATGGAAAGACTTTATTCTCTATATAGAATACGACATTAGTAAGCTGGAAAATAGATCGGAAGAAATTACCCAGAATGCAGCACCAGGAGGAGCAAGGAGGGACAGGAGAGTGAGCAGAACTGCAGGAGAGAGAAGGTCTAATGTATGCGCAATCAGAGGTCTCTGAAGCGAGGGCCCAGATGCTGGGCCGGTGGCAATTCATATCCAAAGAGATAAGGCAGAGTATCATCCAGCAACCAGGAAAGATACCAACCCACAGAATGAGGGTCTCGGGCAAGTGAGGGCTACTGAGCCAGCGAGACGGCACAGCATGAGTCACGGGCACATCTGTGGCTGTTTTTGTCCCAAGAGGTTCTCAGGAGGTTTTGTGTTTCTGTATCGTCCTTAGGAAGGGGGAGGGGGCTGTGAGGTGAAAGGTTACATACTTATGAGACTTCAGTAAGGGCCCAGTAAGTGTACATTTTACATTCCATAAAAGGAAACATTGTAGTCAACTGTTCAAAGAAAAAAAAAGAAACAGAAAGAGAGCAACTAAGCAGGCATCTCAGGGAGGAAGAAGGAACCATTAATCTCCTCTATCCACATTCACAGGGTGGAGCCTTTGGAAAGGGCTGGTTTCTGTTCAGCCCTGAGTGAAGAAAGTCTAATGGTGGTTGGGAGGGAGGGTATAATGGGGTGCGTCTGATCTCTCCTCCTGCACTGGGCAGCAACTCAAGCCCCCAAGGTTTCTCTGGGTTCCCTTGACCAAGGGGAGGGGTCCATTCATGTTAGCTGCAGGGCTTAGAATTTTATTTTTTATTTGTTTGAGAGGGAGTCTCACTCTGTCACCCAGGCTGGAATGCAGTGGCGTGACCTCAGCTCACTGTCAACCTCCACCTCCTGGGTTCCAGCAATTCTGCCTCAGCCTCCCGAGTAGCTGGGACTACAGATAGGCGCCACTACACATGGCTCATTTTGTATTTTTAGTAGAGACAGAGTTTTACCATGTTGGCCAGGCTGGTCTCAAAGTCTTAACTCAGGTGATCCACCTGCCTCAGCCTCCCAAAGAACTGGGATTACAGGCATGAGCCACTGCTTCTGGCCTAGAATTTTATTTTATTTTTCTCAAGGAAGGCCTACAAATTTTAAGCAGAATAAATAAAAGGAAATTCATACGGAAAAACAGCATTGAGAAACTGCAAAACTCCAAAGACAAAAGTCTTATAAAAAACAGGCAGAGAGATTGGCCGGGCGTGGTAGCTCATGCCTGTAATCCAAGTGCTTTGGAGGCCAAGGCGGGCAGATCACCTGAGGTCCGGAGTTCCAGACCAGCCTGATCAACATGTTGAAACCCCGTCTTTAAAAAAAAAAAAAAAAAAAAAAAGACTATTATGGCTGGGCGTGGTGGCTCACGCCTATAATCCAAACACTTTGGAGGCCAACGTAGGCGGGTCACCTGAGGGCGGGAGTTCATGACCAGCCTGACCAACATGGTGAAACCCCGTCTTTAAAAAAATAAAAATAAAATAAAATAAACAGGCAGAGGCCAGGTGTGCTGGCTCAAGCCTGTAATCCCAGCACTTTGGGAGGCTGAGGCAGGTAGATAACAAGGTCAGGAGTTCAAGACCAGCCTGACCAACATGGTGAAATCCTGTCTCTACTAAAAATACAAAAATTAGCCGGGCGTGGTGATGCACGCCTATAATCCCAGATACTCTGGAGGCTGAGGCAGGAGAATCATTTGAACCTGGGAGGCAGAGATTGCAGTGAGCAGAGATCGTGCCACTGCACTCCAGCTTGGGTGACAGAGTGAGACTCTGTCTTGTCTCAAAAAAAAAAGAAAGAAAGAAAAAGAAACAGGCAGAGAACAGATAGCAACAATTTCTGAAATTAACATGAAAAGGCAAAAGACTCAGAACAGCCAACACAGTACTGAAGGAGAAGAACAAAGGTGGAGAATTAAAACCAACCCATTGCCCAAATTATCTCTTTTATTTTCTTCTTTATTTATTTATTTTGAGATGGAGTCTCACTCTGTTGCCCAGGCTGGGGTACAGTGGTGTGATCTCAGTTCACAGCAACCTCCGCCTCCCAGGGTCAAGTGATTCTCCTGCCTCAGCCTTCCGAGTAGCTGGGATTACAGGTGTGCCACCACACTTGGCTAATTTTTATATTTTTACAAAAATACAAAAATGGGGTTTCACCATTTTGGCCAGGCTGCTCTCAAACTCTCAACCTCAGGTGATCTGCCTGCCTAGGCCTCCAAAAGTGCTGGGATTACAGGCGTGAACCACCAAGCCCTGCTCCAAATAATCTCTTTTAAATGCAAATCCCTTCACATAATTTTCCTGCCTAAAAATCCTTCAATGTCTCCCATGATCTTCAGCATGCAGTTCAAACCCTAATAGAGCAAGCAGGCCTTGCACACTCCAGGACTCTGCTGCCAGAAACCAACTCTTAATCCAGATGGCCTCACCTCTGAGGTGCTCCCTAGCCTGCTCTCCTCCTGCAGCTGAGTCAGTACCTCTTCCAGCATTCAGTACATATTTGTAGTAAAACTCACATGGCACCCAACTGTAACTATTGGATAGCTCCACCTTAATTTGCTTTCACATCCAGAGACCCCAGCAAAGGGCCTGGCATTAAGCAGACTAAACTATTTGTTGAATAAATTGGTCATTAATGAATGGATGCATTGACAAAAACAATAATATTCATATATGAAGTTTCTACTATGCACTGACTGACACTTCCTAATTTCAAAACTTAAAAAAAGCTAAACATGGAATTACCCAGCAATACTCCTAGGTATGTGTTTTTATACTTTAAAGCATAAAAAACAAGGGCTCTCACACAAATGCTCGTACATGCATTCACAGCAGAACTACTCACAAGAGCAGCAAGGCAGGAACAACCCAAACATCCATCAATGTATGAGGAGATTAACAAATTGTAGTACACACATCAATGGAATATTATTTAGCCACAAAACAGGATAACGTACTAATACAAGCTACAGTGTGAATGAGCCAGAAGTATTTTTGGGAAACAACCTTGACACAAAAGGCCATTTGACTGCGTTTACATGAAATATCCAAATAGACAACCGTATAGACAGAAAGCATATCTGTGGTTGCCAGGGGCTGGAGGGAGAAGAAATGAGGAGTGACTGCTTATCAGTACAAGGTTTTCTTTTGGGGTAATCAGCATGTCCTGGGACTTGATCAGAGGCAAAAGGTACACACACTGTCAATGTACTAAATGCCAATGAATTGAACGCTTTAAAATGCTTAATTTTAGGTTACATCAAATTCACCTCAATAAGGCGGGGATCACTTGAGGTCAGGAGTTCAGCCTGGCCAACATGATGAAATCTCATCTCTACCGAAAATACCAAAAAAAATTGGCTGGCCGTGGTGGCACATGCCTGTAGTTCAGCTACTTGGGAGGCTGAGGCAGGAGAATTGCTTGAACCCAGGAGACGAACGTTACAGTGAGCACAGATCACATGCAGCCTGGGTCACAGAGCAAGACTCTGTCTCAAAAAAAAAAAAATTTACCTCAATAAAAAACTAGTAAATTTTTAAAAAGTTATGTGCCATGTCTCTATTTCAGAGTTTTATATTTAAGATTTTTCAACTCTATCCTATTCTAAGAAACCCATTCCACAGAAATACAGATATTCATGGCAGCATAAGCATAGCTATCATTGCTGTATTTTTAATAGTGAAAATTACATACATCAAAGAATGTCCCACAATACGGGAATGGCTAAGTATAATACTCTATAAAAGTTAATAGAAAGGGTTAGCAGAACTGTAGGTATTAACCCAAGAGTTCCAAGACACTGATCAGTAAAAACTCAAGCTGTAGAATACTAAACTTAAAATGACCCCATTGCTGAATTTTTTTTTTTTTCTTTTTTTTTTTTTTGATTCTCACTCTGTCACCAGGCTGGAGTGCAGCAGCGCAATCTCAGCTCACTGCAACCTCCGCTTCCTGGATTTAAGCTATTCTCCTGCCTCAGCCTCCTGAGTAGCTGGGACTACATGCACACGCCAACACATCTGGCTAATTTTGTTATTTTTGGTAGAGACGGGGTTTCACCATGTTGGCCAGGATGGTCTCCATCTCTTGACCTCGTGATCTGCCCACCTCGGCCTCCCAAAGCGCTGGGATTACAGGCATGAGCCACCGCAACCAGCCTGAAAAAAAAATTTTTAACTGTGTGTAGGTATATGTACGTAGGTACATGCACCTATATATATATATATGTTTATATAAACATATCACTTTTTTTTTTTTTTGAAAGGCCTGGAACATTATACACCAAGCTGTTAAAAGTGGGCAGCAGAGGCCAGGCACAGGGGCTCATGCCTATAATCCCAGCACTTTGGGAGGCTGAGGCGGGCAGACCACCTTAAATTGGGAGTTCAAGACCAGCCTGACCAACATGGAGAAACCCTGTCTCTACTGAAAATACAAAATTAGCTGGGCGTGGTGGCGCATGCCTGTAACCCCAGCTACTCAGGAGGTTGATGCAAGAGAATCACTTGAACCTGGGGGGCAGAGGTCGTGCTAAATTGAGATCACACCATTGCACTCCAGCCTGGGCAATAAGAGCAAAATTCCATCTAAAAAAAAAAAGTAGACAGCAGGGGCCAGGGGCCGTGGCTCACGCCTGTAATCCCAGTAGTTTGGGAGGCCGAGGTGGATGGATCACCTGAAGTCAGGAGTTTGGGACCAGCCTGGCCAACATGACGAAATATCGTCTCTACTAAAAATAAAATAAAAATAAAAATAATAAAACTAGTGGGTGTGGTAGCACATGCCTGTAATCCCAGCGAGAGGCTGAGGCAGGAGAACTGACTGAACCCAGGAGACGGAGGTTGCACTGAGCAGAGGTTACCCCACTGCACTCAGCCTGGGCAACAGAACGAGACTCTGTCTAAAAAAAAAAATGGGCAGCAGGAATTGACTGAAGGGAGATCCATTTTCTCTACATATTTCTATATTGTCTTAAATTTTTTACCAGCATGCATTACTTTTCTAATTTACAAATAAAATGTTTCACACTATTATTGTTCAATAATCCTTTAGACACAATGCTTATCAAATACCACTTTTCCAGATGACCCCAACAGCAAACTGTGGAAGGGAGACCAACAGCAGATAACTCACCCAAAAGTCTTCCCCTGGGAAGGGTCTTCGGCAGACTGTGCAGGTGGCAGAGGCAAAGGTTCCATGAGCTTCAACAAGCTTTGAGGCAGGGATGCCTGATGCTGAAATTCAAGCCACAGCTAAGTGTTGCTGCTGCCTCTGGGGTGCACGCAGGTCCAAAAGCACCACTTCTGGGCTTGGCAGGCCTCCTAGAAGAAGGCACAACCCCTTGGGGTTGTGATACCCTCAAGCCTTCTGTCCATGCCCATATCACCTACAGGTCATGCACCACCAACCAGAATAAGGCATGGGAGTAAAGGGGCTCCCAGTTGGAGCCAAATCACGGTTAAAACAAAGCCTGTCAAAGCTCAGTACAAAAACTCATTTGATGTAAGCTCAAATAAAATATATCCGGCTAGGCATGGTGTCTCACGCCTGTAATCCCATTACTTTGGGAGGCCAAGGTGGATTGATCATTTCAGGTTAGGAGTTTGAGACCAGCCTGGCCAACATGATGAAACCCTACCACCACTAAAAACATAAAAATTAGCCGGGTATGGTGGCGGGCACCTGTAATCCCAGCTACTCGGGAGCTTGAGGCAAGAGAATCACTTGAACCCAGGAAGCAGAGGTCGCAATGAGCGGAGACTACGCCACTGCACTCCAGCCTGGGAAACAAGAGCAAAACTCTTGTCTCAAAAGAAAAAATTATACCCAATACCAGACTGGACACAGTGGTTCACGCCTGTAATCCCAGTGCTTTGGAAGGCCAAGGGAGACGATCGCTTGAGGCCAGGAGTTTGAGACCAGCCTGGGCAACACAGTGAGACCTGACCTCCAGAAAAAAACGTAAAAACTACCCAGGCACGGTAGTGCACGCCTATAGTCCCAGCTATTCCAGAGGCTGAGACAAAAGGATCACTTCAGCCCAGGAGTTCAAGGCAAAAGGATCACTTCAGCCCAGGAGTTCAAGGCTACAGTGAGCTATGATCACGCCACTGCACTCTAGCCTGGGCAACAGCGCCAAGACCCTGTCTCAAAAACTTATATCCAGTACCTAGGAACACATTTTCTATTCTACAGATACCAAGTTAAAATGAGGATATAAATATCATAAATTCCAAAAGAATTGCTTGGTAGAAAAACAGACAAAAAGTGACTTCTTATGAAAGTTGTGACACTATTGTCTGGCTCTGAAGCACTGTGGTAGCATAGTCAGGGTCCCAGCTGCAGGAGGCTCCCCAAGCCCCTGCCACTCAGCAGTGCTGCATCTCACAGCCAGAGTGCCCACCTTCCCACACGGCCTGCCCAGCTGCACCTCTGGGAGAAAAGACCACCAACATGGGGTAGCCACTGCTGCCTCTGTGGCTCCAGGCTAGGGAATCCTTCTGGCAAGGAAACATACCTGGAGCCAAGGTGTCTCCTCTTTTTAACTGACAACACATCTGCAGACTGGCTGAGCTGCTCCTGGCCCCCGGAGAGCTGACTGTCCCTGCACCTGTCTGCAATCACTGCATGTAAGGAAAAGGCCCCATCAAGTGCTTCCCTAGGGTGCACGGCCAGAAGTCGGCACAACCTGTGAATCGCTGGTTTGGGCACCATGTGGATACAGTCAAGAAATCACCACAGGCTGAGTGTGACAATATTTAGGAATTACAAGAGATTCTTCGGCGTGAAAATGGTATCAAAGTTGTTTTTAATTTTTAATTTTAATTTTTATTAATTTATTATTTTTGAGATGGAGTCTCTCTGTCACCTAGGCTGGAGTGCAGTGGCACAATCTCAGCTCACTGTAACCTCCGCCTCCCAGGTCCCAGCAATCCCAAGTAGCTGGGATTATAGGGGCACATCACCACGCCCAGCTTTTTCAATTTTTAGCAGACAGGGTTTCCCATGTTGGCCAGTGTAGTCTTGAACTCCCAACCTCAGGTGATCTGCCCGCCTCCCAAAGTGCTGGGATTACAGGTGTGAGCCACTGCACCCAGCCAGAGTCGTGTTTCAAGTCTCCTCTAGAGATAGCTATTCATGTATTTATAGATTATTTCTAGATTAAATTCATGATGTCAGGGATTTCCTTCACAATAATCTGGGGATTTGGATGGAGGTGGTGAGGACACAGGAAGAAGGCCTGGCTATGTGCTGGTGATGTGGACAGGACGCTTCATTACATTTTTCTCTTGATTTGCATGTGCTCAAAAAAATTCCGTAATACAATTTTTAAAAGAGAACAGAAGGCCGGGCACGGTGGATCATGCCTGTCATCCCAGCACTTTGGGAGGCTGAGGCGGGCGTATCACCTGAGGTCGGGAGTTCAAGACCAGCCTGACCAACATGGAGAAACCCCATCTTTACTAAAAATACAAAATTAGCTGGGCGTGGTGGCGTGCATCTGTAATCCCACCTACTCGGGAGGAGGCTGAGGCAGAAGAATCGCTTTAATCCAGGAGGCAGAGGTTGTGGTGACCTGAGATTGAGCCATTGGACTCCAGCCTGGGCAACACGAGTAAAACTCCGTGTCAAAAACAAAAAAAAAAACCCAGAAAAAAGAGATGATCACACCAGATAGATTAGCAAAACAATGTCAACTTCTGCCCAAAATGCACAGTTCTGCAGGTACACCAGGAGAGCAAGCAGTGGCCTTTAAACACCCTGAGAACATTTTCCGTGGGAACAAAGCCCTAACTGGTTGGCTCAAAAACAGTCCCAAGGAAGAAGCATAAGCACTAGGTCTCAGCCCTCCCCAGAAACAAGCGCCTGAGCCTTCCCTGTGGGAACAAGAATGAGTGAGATGGACAGAGGGCTCACCTCTCTCAAGCCCATCGATGTTCTGCGTGTAGAGCCGCAGAAGCAGCCCCTTGTCATGAAGCAGCCGGAGGAAGTAGTGAGTGACATTGGGCTTGTAGTTTCCAGGGTACAGCTCCTTGGCTAAAGTGAAAAAGGGCTTGGGGTTGTAGAAGAAAAATGGAAGCTCAAAAATGGCCTCGGGGTACGGGAGATTGTACTGCTGGAGGTTGCTGTACAGCCCACTCCCCGGGGATCTGCAGAGAGAGAAGGAAGAGGCTCTGGGGACTTTGGAAGAGGGCAGGAAAGCGGAATAAATCGGGCAGTGGGGAGGGCAGGAGGCAGGTGGGACTGCAGACAGTACCTGAAGTCTGGAATGCCACTGGGTGTGCTGATGCCGGCCCCCACCATGACCACCACCCTCTGGCAGGCTCTGGCCCGAATCAGCTCAGCCACATCCTGCAGAGAAAGCTTCCCCTTGTCATTGCTGCCTCCGCTTCCAACACTTGAAGCACCCACAGAAAAAGATATGGGTCTTCTTCCACCTTTAATACTGGCAGAAAAAAACAAAGCAGCAAAAGAAAGAGATAGCAGCCAATCTCAGGATAGCAAGAATGAGCATGATTCTACCCTTTGCACCAACCCCACCATTGAGATTGACCATACATGTCCCTCCAGACCTCCCAAAATAACCAGCTTTTTCAGCTGACTATTGGGCTACAATGGAAAGCAGTCATAAATCAGAAATCAAGACTTATTTGGGAGCAAAAAATTCAGGTTAATGGAAACTGTGCTCATTTCATAATTCAGTACACTCCGTGGGTACTCAATTCTCTGAGTCCAAACCTCCAAAGGGGTTTTCTAATGAAAATTGGTCAAGTTGTCAAGAGGGAAAGCTCTGGCTCTAAAACCGTCCCACCACCTGTTAAACGCCCACTTCACACAGCATGTCAGACACTATTTGCTTAAGGCCGTCCCCAAACCGCTACTGTGCTGCTACTACACATGCACCGTTAGGAGAATCACAAAAGGAATGAAAGTTACTGTTGCTGCTGAGTGCCTGCTGACGGCAAGGTATCACAAAGGGTGCCTGAAAGACGTTCCTCACCTACATAACCACAATGTTCGTGAGTGACCGAAGAACACATAAATGGAGTTTTCAAATGTCTGGAACATAATTAAGATGTATGGCTTAAAGTCTATACTGCATGGTGTGAAATTCACTGGGAGTAGAGGGGACTCTGAGGGGCAGCCATGGGTGCGACCTGGGAGGGACACTGTGCAAAGGACACAAAGGACAAATTCAGAGATCTCAAAAATCTAAAGCCAAAGGGCAGATTCCAAACTGCAGAAAGCCCATGCAACGGACTCCTCCTCACAGGCAGCCCTATGCCTCCTGCTTTAGGGCCAGTGGTAGGGAGGACTGATACTAGAATGTGCTCCACGCATTTGCCTGTCCTGGTCCCTGCCCTATCTACAGTACCTAGAACAGAGTCTGGCACAGAATAAGAGCTCAGTGAGGGCTTCTTGGATGAATCGCAGACTCTTCAGGATCTTTCTTTCTTTTTTCTTTTGAGACACAGTTTCACTCTTTAGCCCAGGCTGGAGTGCAGTGTCAAGAGATCTCGGCTCACTGCAACCTTCGCCTTTCGGTTTCAAGCGATTGTCCTGCTCGCAGCCTCCCCAGTAGCTGGGATTACAGGCACCCGCCACCACGCCTGGCTAATTTTTGTATTTTTAGCAGAGACAGGGTTTCACCATGTTGGCCAGGCTGCTCTTGCACTCCTGAACTCAGGTGATCCAAACGCCTCTGCCTCCCAAAATGCTGGGATAACAGGCATGAGCCACTGCACCCAGCAGACTCTTCAGGATTTTTCTATTAAAGTTTTTTTTTTTTTTTTTTCAGGTAGATACGGTCTTCCTGTCACCCAGGCTGCAGGACAGTGAGCATTCAATCATAGCTCACTGCAGCCTTGAACTCCTGGACTCAAGGGATCCTCTTGCCTTAGTCTTGGGAGTAACTGGGACTACAGGCTTGCACCACCATGCCTGGCTAATTTTTAACTGTTTTGTATGGATGGGGGTCTCGTTATGTTGCCCAGGCTGGTCTTGAACTCCTGGTCCCAAGCAATCCTCCTGTCTCAGCCTCCAAAAGTGCTGGCATTACAAGTGTGAGCCACCACTTCGGGCCTCACTCTTCATCAATACTTTCAGTAGCTGTGTCAGACAGCATCAAGCAAATGAATGCACTATTATCTACTTAAATATTCATCCATTATAGGGCATTTGATACCTAACAACCATGGACCTTAAGATTTCTTCGTATGCAGGCTCAGTTCCCAGATGCAATTACTATGGAGACAGGTATGATCACACACCTGTGGGAGTATTAATCGCACAACATTTATGAGGGATAAAGTGTTAAATGCATATACTCTTGGACCTAGCAGTCCCAGTACTCGGAATTTATGCAAAAAGTGAGGTGCAAACAAAGTCATTCGCCACAGCATTACGTACAATAACTAAAGAAACTCTAGGAAGCATTTCAATGAGGGAATGATGAAATAAACGACAAAACTCCCACAAGGGACGTCCACCGACCAGCATAAAGACGGGGGCCCCGGGTGCTGGAGCGGAAGCAACACGCCGCAAAAGAAACACGGCACGGTGAGAAAGGAGGGCGAGGTGTCGACAACGAACACGCAAGAAGTGCTTGTCCTCGCCCAAAATACCTCGAAACGGAGAAGCAGGGAGCCGCTGCCCTCGGCCGCCTCCGGAATGCCCCGGGCACCGCGGGTCTGGGAGGCCTCTGCAAAGGGTGCGCCGGACCCAGGGGCTCACCGTGGACCCCACGGCTGCCTCCCGGCCCCGCACTGACACCGTCTCTGCCGCCAAGCACCAGCCGACAGCCGCAGGCCTGGAACGGCCCCATGCCTCCCCTGGCTTCGGCCCGTACAGCTACGGAGCCCCACAGCCGGGGGGCAGCCGCGCTGCGCCAACCGCACAGCGCCATGTTCCCGGCAGCCCTGAGTCCTGCGGGCTCGCCCCGCCCCGGCCCCGCCCCGGCCCCGCCCCTGCGTTCACGCCCCGCCCCGGCCCCGCCCCCGCGTCCACGCCCCGACCCCCGCCCCTGCGTTCACGCCACGCCCCGGCCCCGGCCCTGCGTTCACGCCCCGCCCCGGCCCCGGCCCGGCCCCGCCCCCGCGTCCACGCCCCGGCCCCGCCTCCGCGCCACGCCCCCGGCGCGCTCGGGTAAACGTAGAGAACGAGTGGAGGCGGTTCCCTAGTCTGGTGTCTGACCCCTCGCCCCGGAGGTCAAAACGGGAGCCAGCATTTCTGAACCCTGCGCCCACACCTTTTTCAGCCCGGATGGTGGTGACAGTTGATACTTCCTGAGCGCTTTTACCACAGCCAGGCATTATATTTACACCTAGTCCTTGCAAGACACCGCTGGCAAGGTCCTCATTTGAGAGGAGCAATTCCGGGTCACAAAGGCTGACGCCGCAAAGCTTTGTGGCCGGTGCGACCAGAGGCGCCCATGCTCTTTAACGCCTCAGTGACACGGCGAGGTGCGCGGGGAGTGGATTGCAAACGCGGCAGAGAGGTGTGTCCCGAGCGTAGGGACGCGCGGTGACCCGGCAACCGGCGGACCCCGCCCTCGGCCGACCACGGCGCTCCCAGCCTGCCCCGCGTCGCGCGGCGCCGGAAGTGAGTGAGCATTTCCGGCAGCCATCCTTGTGGTGCTGACATCCCGGCTGTCCTGTCCCGGGGGTCTTCCTGCTGTCATGAAGGACGTACCGGGGTTCCTGCAGCAGAGCCAGAGCTCCGGGCCTGGGCAGCCCGCTGTGTGGCATCGTCTGGAGGAGCTCTACACGAAGAAGTGAGCGCCGGGCAGACGGGCCCCGGGCCCCGGGCCCCGGCGCTAGAGCGAGACGGAGGGAGGGGCGGGCGGAGGAGCGGGCCCTTGGTGGGCTGAGGGCGCTCAGAGCCGGGCTGGGGGAGGCGGGGACGGGGGAGGGCG